AGTACGCTTAAAAGGCGTGTTGCGCGTGTGCGCACACCCACAGGATGACATATGGTAGTGGATATACTAACGTGTAGTGGTGACGAGCTAAATATTGTTTATAAAAATAAAAAATATTTTAAGCTATTGCATAGCTTCTATCGCGGGCCTTGAGCGCGGGGACCGAATCCAGAAATTTCGTAACGAAAAAAACCTCACGCTCCCCACTCCGACGGGCACGGAGGTGTGGCGTTGAAAGCCGTGCATCGTCTAACGTCGTTTCAGTCACTCGGCAGACTTCGGCACGGTGTTTGTGTGCGTACGACTAGACGTATGCGTGTACACTAGCTGCTAACTCAATGATAAAAATTCCTGAATAACCTACATGTATTGTAAGATATTAAAATATTTTAAACAATATTAACTTCTCATTTATTCAACAAGAGAAAAAAAATTGTTTTCTTATCGGTTACCACGCTCAAAAAGTGTAACTTGATTTAATATCAAAGACATAATGCATAAATAAAATAAATAAATAATTATAATTGCATAAGTTGATAAAAAATGCTATGCAATAGCTTTACCGCGGCAGTCACCGAGTGCCACACGTATTTTTTATTTTATTTTTTTAAATTAAACATGATATATGCTTAATATGAAAATTCTCTTAATTTAAAAACATTCTTAATATACTTGGTCTCAAGTATAATACTCATAAAATATAATTTGAATGAAATACACGACACGCTAAAACTCATATAACCGTCCTATTTACTAATGTTTCTCAAAAGGCAACCAAGCCAATGTCTAAGAAGCAAAGCCCACTTGAATAAGGACGTCTTTTGACGTCAGAGGCCTTTCATCATAGGTAACGTCTGAATATTTTTTCCTTTGCATTAGGAGGAAAGAGATTTTAAAATTTTACTCCGTTCTATAATAATCCAGTAGAACTTTTGCATTTTCGGGCTACTAACACTAATAATTATAAAAAAAATATAATTACCTATTAATCAGTCTGGCCATAAATACTGTTACATAAAAACTTTTATTTTTTTTTCAACTTTTTAATTATTTTGATTTTGGAACGCGTTCACTATTTTAAAAAGAATTCGCGCCATTTTATATATTTTCGTGTTCATTATCAAAGTACAACATGGAATGGGGCATTAAAGAAAATAGGATTGCGATGATCGCCTTGCACAAAGTGGGTATGGAGCCGTTGGTCATATTCCAGACACTTTAAAAGCTTGGTATCAGCCGTATGTTCGTATATCGTACTATCACCAGATACAACAACACTTCCTCTATCGAAAACCATAAAAATTCGGGCCGGCCGCGTGCCGTTAGAACTACAAAGGCTGTTAATGCTGTTAAAGCCAGAATTATTCGAAATCCCATTAGGAAGCTAAAAATATTATCGAAAGAAATGTAGATTCCCGCTAGGACTCTGTCGCGTATTATAAAACAAAACCTAAAGCTTATCGTCGATATACAGGACATGCCCTAAATCAATCTTTACAATTAAAGAGAGTGGATCGATCAAAACTTCTTCTGTCGCGATACGCAGGTGAAAAAATTTTCACAGTGGAAGAGCACTACAATAAGCAAAATGATAAAGTGTACGTTCATAGTTCTAAAGAAACTGCTCAAGTGGTCGGAAAGGTACAACGTGGTCATCATCCTGCGTCAGTGATGGTTTAGTGGGGCGTCTCTTATCAAGGCGTCGCAATGCTACATTTTTGTGAAAAAGGTGTGAAAACTTCAGCCAAAGTGTATCAAGAGAGAACAGACTAGGATCGTGTTGTAAAACCTCTCAGCAATACACTTTTTAAAAAACGTACCGTGGACTTTCCAGCAGGACTCTGCACCTGGACACAAGGCACGAACTACCCAAGCCTGGCTCGAAACCAACGTTCCGGACTTTATAAGAGCTGAAGACTAGCCCTCAGCTAGCCCAGACCTCAACCCTTTAGAATACAAATTATGGTTAGTTTATAGAGGACATGGCTTGCTCTAAACGACACGGCGACATTGAGTCTTAAAAAATCTTTGGAGCTTGCTTGGGAAATTTATCCTATTATATATTACTTATTATATACATTGGATAAATTTCCCATGGAAACAGTGCGTAAATCCATATTCGTGGCCAGACAGATTAAAGGCCTGTATAAAAGCCAAAGGTGGCCATTTTAAATAGAATATTGATATTAATAAAAAAGATAATAAAAAAGGATATTATTCCAAAAAAAAAACGGTTTTTCAAAATTTTTATTTTTGATATTTCCCAAAATCTACTCGTCCGAATCAGTTCATATTAACACCAAATATATTCTACATTGAGATATTTGAACGCCAAAAACCGCATCTCAATCGATTAAGACGTTCAAAAGTTATGAAAGGTTTGCATACTTACACACACAAACATAGATACATACATCCGTACGGACATCCACGTTAAATTATTCAGAGTAGCTCCCTGGAATCTCAAAACGTCGAGATCTGATGAATACTCGATTTTAAAAAATCGGGGTGCAGCCAATAACTTCCCTATTTTTGAATATTTTCAATTTTCTTAGCGGGAAGTTAAAAAATGCATTTTCATTTGTAACAGAACTTATGGCCGGACTAGGTATATTGCTACTCAAATCATTAGTAGCTTAATAAGTGTGAAGCTTATACCTGATGTGGTATGTGGGATGTTATTTTTGGCATCTATCACATTAATTCCACACGACTCGGGTTGACGGGGAGAGAATGCGAAAAGTCCGCCCGTTCTAATCCTTTTTATTAAGGTGTACAATTAATTGAAAATAAATAAGCTTAATTTTCTGTGCAGGCGATAACAAAAAATTAGAAAAACTTGAACCCACCAGAGGTACGATGCGTCGTAATCGTAAGTTAACGATGTTATTAGTTTTCTTATTTTACAACTAGCTATTCATGCCTGTAACTTACATTAAAAAAAAACTTTTAAAAGGTACAAAAAAAGACTAAATTACTTTTTTGAAGTTGGTGGTTATCGCAAAATTAAAGTATAGTAGTTGTAAACCAGATGAGGTCCCAGATAAGAATCCCAGATCGGGTCAAAATCAATTGTTGAGTAATTTTAGTTAGTGCCTCGGAACGCATGTGAAACCTGACCAACTTGATCGGTCATGTCGGATTAAGCCCCACTACCATCGGAATATTATGAAAGCGAGGCATTAGAGTTTTTTTTTAATACAGAATATTGACAAACGGTCACACAGTCCCCCTGATGGTAACTGGATGCTGTAGTCCAGACATCTAAATTTATCTTTGATTACGAATCAAGACCAAGAATCAATGGAATGTCTTGTTTCAAGTAAAAAGGGTCTCCGGTTCTCTACACTCACTATACAAAACACAGCAGCATTAATAATTATTTCACGCTTGTATTCGAGCCGACCCATTAGTGCTACCACCATAATATACATGCAGCGTAGCTCTACCACGTATAAAAGCACTTGTGCTTACAAAACATACTCATGCACATTAAGTCTGTCCTGTGCATATAACTAGTCTCTGTTGAGGCTTGCCGCCGTAACCAAAATTCAGTCGGGAGGACATACTCATTGAGAGACTGCGTTAGTATAAATGTACTCAATATAGTAAAAACGTAGTAACAGGTCGTATTTATTTATCTATAACATCAGTCAGTTTATACGTGGTAGAGTAATGCTACAGTTAAATTAGTAGTATAGTTGTAGCACGAATGGGTTGGCTCGACCGGGGAAGGACCACGCTCTCACGGAATACCAGCGTAAAATAGTAGCTTAATGCTGCTATGTTTCGTATGGTGAGTGTAGAGAATTGGAGACTCTTTGTACTTAAAACGAGGCGTTCTGAATTTTGATTCGTAATCGAGGATAGATGTAGATGTCTATGGGACATAGCAACCACTTATCATCAGGTGGACTGTGTGCTCGTTTGTCACCCTATCCTATAAAAAAAAGTCCGTGAATCTAGGTAGTTTTAAAGCTTTCTTTACCACAAAGACATCTTCAAATGTTTTTTAATGATGGATTAACTTAGAGGATATATTGGAAGAAGCATTAGAGCTATATTTAACCCACAACGACTGTTTTCTCAAAAAGATAAAATAGTTTCGATCAATAAAGCCAGTACACGACATGTTGCCATATTTACCTACTAAAATAGAAACATATATACACCCTCTCCATAAAAAAATCATAAAAAAATCGAAGGGCAAATTTTTGACTCTACTTCTTAACATTTGATATATAAAAAGTTGGTGCGACACGGGAGATCCCTTCATTTCCTGAACTAAGACACCAGTAAGAAATGTTAAAAAAATGTTAACGTATAATATATATATATATATATATATAAATGGTATATGATACAAGAAAATGAAATCATTATTAAATGTATACATATTAAAAAGACGGCTTGACCATATTTAATATATTTACAATACATATTATCACTTGTGAAATTTTGTCAGTAAGCTAATACTCAATTTGTTCATAAAAAAAACTACTATTGTATCGAATGAAACTATACCAATGTCAAAATATTTATTAGTTCTCGAGATATGTACAGCGATAATCTAAGTAGAGATACGTATGACAAAATTAGGGCTTTAAAAATCGGATATATTACATAATTCCCACAGCGAGGTTAATAATAAGTAAACTAAATATAACGAATTCTAACCCATTACCTTAAAATTTGTGTATTTATGTACTTGTAAAAGATTGCTTTATCTTAGAAACAAATATGTTTATATTGTATACAGTATATCCAAGTGAAATAATGTAATGATTAGTATGAACATAGCATAGCAGTGAGCTTCAGCAGATTAGAAAACATTACTAGAGTTTGTGATGATAAAGTACAAAAATACTATATTTACATGTATACATTACACTTGACAACGTTAAAAGATATCATGCATCACATACAAAGGAAATAAAAGGAAAAAGAATAAAAGTGGTCGAAGCGTTACACATAACATGGCTGTCTCAATTGCCACTTACGGGGATAGAGGCTGGTTTGTTGACAACCACAATTTCCTCGTCGATATGAACGAGGGTGATCGGTTGGCTGGTGACCGGTACTTCGTGCCTGCAACGATACACACGTCAGGCTTCTGGCCTAATAGTGCCTCGGACGCTGAGCAAATTGAATGAGAAAATATTAAGATGTTAAATAATTTTAAAGGAATAAATTATCCAAATACGTTAAACTTTACGAGTCGAAGAATTAATTTAAACTAAGTAACATTAACATAGTTTAATATTAAAATAGTGTTCGAAGCTGAAGAAAAATAAAACGAAGTAAAAGTTGTTAAATAATTAAAATGGAGAGAGAGAGAGAGGGGGGAGCGAAAAGAAGGTAAGATTAGTAACAAAGAATTAAGTTTGCTGCAATAACTTAGATAAGATAAGAGCTTGAAACTTGTTCAGTGTTAGTAGTAAAAGAAGGAAACGTCAATAATTATAAAAATAAATAAAGGGAATTGTAAAGACGTGTTCATATAAAAATGTTTGTGTGTAAGGAAATTGCTCAGAGTCCGTCGTACCATAAATTGGTTCTCGTGCCGCATGATATACAGATAAGACGAGAACAAAACAACAAATGAACATGCGTGAGCGAAAGTAATCCTCAAGTATTGACGTGGGAAAGGTTTTAAATACGTGTAAAGTTACTACTCATTTAAAACCGCGAAGCACTGGGTAAGTAATGACCACTAAATACGATATTTCAATTGTAAAAAAGTTATGTATAAAGAGTGCACTCGCATGCTCATCCGGTGCCAACGATATTTTATCATTTAGCCAATCTAAAGAGGCCTGTATGTACAAACAAGCTTAGACTTTGTGATCGCTGCATTAAGGCTTAATTCTATATAAATTAATTTTATATCTACGGAAGAATAGAAAAATAGAAATTTCGATTTCAAATCACGTGATTAATTTTATACCACACCGGACTTACACATAGACTGAAAAGTTAAATTTTGAAGATAAGTACGAAGTAAGACAGAAGAGTTAATATTTTATACAAGGTTTCATGGATTCATAGTTTAGTTCATCCTCATTCATGAATTCGGGTTTTACAATTATAAAATGTGATTTTAACTTGGATTTAGTAGTTGTGTCAACGAACAGTAATCTTTTCAAGTATGCTGTTAAGAAATTGTATTTCACAGAGACTGTGTGTTGACATTAGGAATCTAAAGTTTTACCTGTGTACAACGTTGGCAAGTAAGTCGTTGTGTTTAAGCCTGTAGTCAGGGTCGACACGCTCATAGTTAACAGTGAGTGTGCCCGCCCGAATACACCTCTCGTACTCAGCAGCAGGATGAGCTCTGAATTCCCTTGCAAACACATCCAGGATTTTCTCTCCGACCCATCTGCCTTTAGTAAATGTGGTGAAAGTGAAGTAGTAAGGGTAGACTTTCCTGAGACCTAAAAATGGATTCACTTTTTTAAAAAACTATTAGAGAAATAATTTGCGTTTACTAATTATTTTTCTATTTATTTTTAATGTATTTATAAATTGACTCAAAGAACAAATGGAATAAGTAGCACAGTTTAAGGCTTTTAGAATAGTTAAACTAAGTTGTTGGGTGTTTATAGAAATCGAAAGCATTCACCACGAAAAACTTAACGGGTTGTAGTTAAATAGTTGGATGAGTTGTATCGAACGAAGACCACAGCAATGCGGTAAGGCAAGTTAATGTATACGGGGAATGTGATATTCTATCAAATACGTACTGCTATTTGTTGCCACTAGAACAAAGGGAGTTAAGTATAAAGTTTCGTAGTGAGAAATAATTTGTACAATTTGTAGATGCAAGTAAATCTAAATCGAGGAGTGATATCATACGTAATTCAAAGGAGTCAACAATATGAATTGCTTAACATAAACTTACAAGTGATTTGCCATAGAAAATATTTACAGGTATGAGAGAAAAATTGAGAACTATGTGAATGTTTTAATGAGCCGTGTGGTTACGGCGTAAAAGAATCCATCCAATCCATAATCCATGGTAGAGCCACGCTACAGCTGTATTATGGTCTGGTATACGCACGAATGGGTCGTCTCGACCGGGGAAGGACCACGCTCACAGAATACCGGCATGAAATATCAGCATAATACTGCTGTGTTTAGTATGGTGAGTGTAGATACCCTAACTTAACCTTTTTTACTGGAAACGAGGCATTCCATCTTAGTCCTTACAGGGGTGACAACGCATCTGCGTTTTGATTCTTATTCGAGGATAAAAGCATATGTCTATGGGTCACAGCATCCACTTACAATCGGTGGACTGTGTGCTCGTTTGGTACCCTTATTCTATAAAAAAAATATATATAACATGATCTGAGGTAGCCCTCTCTCTATCATCAGGTGACTGTTAGCTCGTTTGTAACTTTGTTACTAAAGAAAGAGATTTAAGGACGTTCCACACTATCCTATATAGATATCATAAAAATGTAGGGCAGGACCACGCTCTCACAGAATACTTGCGTAAAATAGCAGCGTAATACTGCTGTGTTTCGTATGGTGAGTGTAGAGATCCGGAGACCCTTTTTTACTGGCAACGAGGCATTCCATCTTAGTCCTCAGGGACAACACATCTGCATTTTGATTCTTAATCGACGATAAATGTACATGTCTATGAGCTACAGCATCTACTTACCATCAGTTAGACAGTGTGCTCGTTTGGTACTATAAAATATATAAGATGATCTGAGGTAGACCTCTCTCTATACAGTAACAGGCGTATAGAGAGAGGTCTACCTCAGATCACATAGTAATAGGCGACGATGGAAAATGGCAGGAATATCTTATGGCTTTTGAAATATAGCCAATAGGTGGTATAACTTATCCTGATTGTGTCAAGCGTAAAATATCACAAAAGGGACAGTAGTGTCAAAAATGAAAAACATGTACTCAATTGCCAAACCACTTACCTAGCGTAGTGATTGTGGAAAACCCTTATCAAATTGGAAGGCCCATATCAAGAAGTGAATGCTTATAGATGTAGTAGAAAAAGTATATTTTTATACACAAAGATAATGTACCTGTTTAAGCTTTCGATGTTTTGTACCGATACTAGCCGTACCACATTAGTTTACGGGCTTAGCGCTGTCTGTACATTTACAGTACGCGAGCAACACGGGTTCAATCCCTATCAGCATCGAAGATTTACCACGAGCACTGCGGTGAAGGGAAAAATCGTGAAGAAACTAACATGACCGAGGAATAAAAATATTACGAAGATAAGTGAAGTCCGCCAACACGCACTAAAGCAGCGAGTGTAACTAATATAGCTTAATAACCCTCCAAAAATGATGAGAGGTCCGTGCTCAATATATAAGCGGTAACTTAAACTTAACTTTAGCATCCAACCAACAACAACAACGATCAAAGTAATGTACCTAATTCTTGGTCTATGGTTATTTTAATAGAAACCAAAAACGCTATTTACTTCCTAACCCAATAACCATACTAAAAGGAAATAAAGCTATGAAGCTTAGAAAATAAGTATACTCGTATTTGGTGCATACTGCGAAGGATTTGATTTCTTTAATATGCCAGACTTCAGGACCGGGTAAGAGCTCCAGGTTATAGCAATTCGGAACTTTTCAAAGTAAGAATGAATGGGAATCTTCTAAGCTAAATTGTACTACTATCTTCAATCAGTAGACATAAGGTGAGATTTTGGTTAATCATTCTCGCTACCTATTCACAATAAAAAGTAAGCCGCTGTAACAAATTGTTCGAGAAAACTACAGAAAAATACATTAAATCTTGTACCATACCATTCTCAATGTAGTAAGAAGTCTCATTGTAACGGTCATCTGTGAAACCTGGCCTCTTCGCTTTCAGCGCTTTGGTTTCTAGTTTTGCCTGAAAATAAAAATAAAAATTAAAACATTGTTACTAAATATACAACCGTGTAGTCATGGTGTAAGAACAAGCACTGCTCCATATCGTCCCGTGGCTTTCGTAAGAGCCGATAGAAAGTAACTGAGACAGGATGTGGCCATCAGAAGTTTCCTGATAAGAACTCAAAATAATAAAAAATGCGGTTGCCGAACAGCCTGCCAAGCGTGAAACTATGGCCAAATCCCTTATCCCGTATGAGGCAATCTATGGGGGAGGCCTATGTTCAGCAGCGGACTTTGATAGGCTGTAATTGATTCATGATAAATATACCAATGGGTTTTAAGAACTTTATGAACAAATGTAATATAATATCTATTAGTGAAGTAAAAATGTTATCAATTCAATCGATATCAAATTTTATTAAGTGGTAGAGCCATGGTGCAGTTATGTTAGTAGTATAGTTGTAGCACGAATGGGTCCGCTCGACCAGGGAAGGACCACGCTCTCATAGAATAACAGCGTAAAATAGCAGCTTAACGCTGCTGTGTTTCGTATGGTGAGTGTAAAGAAGCGGAGACACTTTTTACTGTAAAAGAGACATTCCATCTTAGTCCTCTCGGGTGACAACGCATCTGCATTTTGATTCGTGATCGAGGATTGATGTAGATGTCTATGGGCCGCAAAAACCATTTACCATCAGGTAGACCGTGCGCTCGTTTGACCGTGTTTTCCGTGTGACGACTAATTTAAGTTTAAAGGAACCTGTAACGATTTAACTTCGGTAATCACTCGAATCTTCGAGTAATTTAAAAACTCGTCTTATCATTTTGCAAGAAATTATCTGTCGAATCTTTTTAAACAAAATTCTGCTGCGTTGAGAATATGAAATTTTTAAATGTAAAAATCTTTTTTAAGAAAGTGCTTTTAAGGTAGAACAATCTTTGGGAAATATTGAATTGACAGAATATTCGTGGCTCGCTCTAGAATCGCTTATAAAAAGTTTCATCCTCGGGCACGCCCGATGGCGAAATGAGAAAAGTTTTTTTTTTAAACGAAACAATCTACAGAGTGTTGAGAGCTTTTTATTTATCCTCGTATAAGCGACGTATATTGTGGCATGTCTCGTTATTTTTGCTCATAAATAATTTTGATAGAGGTATTATTATTTTAAAATCGATTTTACTTGTGGTTTTAATCCTTTATTGTATTTTACAGATTGTACAACCTGAAAACTTGATATTTTATGATGAAACAAGAAGACCAATACTGTGTCCGCGACAAAGGCCTTTGTCCTTTGTCCTTAAGCGAATAATTTACGATCTGCACAAACAAAAAGCATTGCTTTTGATTCGAATTAAGTCGTAAAGACTCAAAAGACAGATATGCTAAAGAGTAAGTCACGTGATGGAGAGACAAACATCTTGAAATGGGATAGAAAACCACAATATACATAACATGGAACAAAATTACAGGAGCCTTGCTTTCTTCGTATGTCTTTCTAGTTCAAAATTTGTAATAAATTTTTTAGGAACTTGCTTGAAGGTTTTGACACGTAGGATGCAAGAGAAATCGGAAAGATTCATATGGGAGGCACAATGCGGATTTAGACCTGGAAGAGGATGCACGGATCAAATGTTTTCTCTCCGCATGATCACGGAGAAGCTTCTGAGTGTTAACCAGAAGATTTTCTGTGCTTTTGTGGATCTGGAGAAAGCATTTGATAAGGTTATAAGGAAGAAAATGTGGGAACTATGACTGTAAAGCCTGTGTGCGGGCAGGGCATGACCTGTCACCCATGTTTAGCGTCCAAGCGGGCATAAAACAGGGTTGTGTCATGTCTTCCTGGCTGTTCATACTGTATCTCGACAGCTGTTTACAGAAGCTGAAAAATAGCTGTTTGGGTGTGAAATTGGGTGACATAAAAGTAAATTGTCTGCTGTATGCTGATGATGCAGTGCTTATTGCACCTTCAGAAGCAGAACTTCAGGCATTAGTCACGTGTATGAAAGAGGAATGTGAAATTAAAGGTCTCCGTTTGAATGCTAATAAAACTAAGGTTCTGGTATTTGAAAAGGACGAAGAGAGAACGGAATGTGAAATATGGGTAAATCAGGAACGTCTAGAACAGGTAAATGAAATTGTATACTTGGGTAGTGCTTTCAGCCGGGATGGAAGATGTGATTTAGATGTGGATAGGCGTGTCGCTGCCGAAAACAAAGTCAATGGTGCCTTGAATGCATTAGTAAAAAGGCAAGGCGTGGTGAAGAGTGCACGCCTTGCAATACATAATGCAGTGTTGGTACCGACTTTGTTATATGGCAGCGAAACCTGGGTATGCCAGAAGAAGCATAAAAGCAAGTTGAAGGCAGTGGAGATGCGATCTCTTCGTAAAATGTGTGGCGTTACCTTAGCCGACCGAAAGCGAAACGAAGAGATTCGCAATATGGCAGGATTGAAAGATGACCTTATCACAAAAATTGATAGGGGCGTACTCCAATGGTTTGGGCACGTTGAACGAATGAGTGAAGACCGAATGGTGAAGAAAATATATAGAGCGAAAGTAAATATTAAAAGGTGTCGAGGTAGACCGAGACTAACTTTCGAAGACCATGTGAGCAAATTGCTCGAAGAGGGGAGGGTCAAGAGTACTTGGATACCTAGACGTGCATGTATGAAGAAGTTAATGAACCTGAAGGAAGCGAAAGAGGTATGTAAGGATCGTGACACTTGGCGATCTGTTCTCTCTGGCTACCCCGTTAGGGATTATGCGTGAAGATAAGTAAGTAAGTAAGTAAGCTAACATTCGAGCAGCAATCTCTCACACTTATCACTAGATGACAATTCACTAATATAGTTACATGGAGCTGATTTGAGGGACCCGCATTTTGGCTCCAGCAACGCTTATAAAAGCTTATTTTTAAATATATTTTATATTTTAGTATTATACTAAATATCACAATTTTATAAATAGAATCGTCTCGTCTCAAGAGTTTATAATCGGCTTCACAATATGACAGATTCTCAGTTCAAGTGTCTATGATGTCACATCGTTGGAATAATGTTCTTAAATTCTAATCGTACTCAACTAGCTAATGGTAATTTTAATTTTAAATTAAATAAATTAGTTCCCTAGAGATAAGAAATTAGTTTTATAAATAAGACGGGGAAAAAGTATCTTCGTATTTTATTTACAAATTCAAGACATTCAAGGCCGACAAAGTTTAAAGTAAAGCAAAGTTACAGCCTATATATGTCCCACTGCTGGGCAAAGGCCTCCCCTCATTTCTGAGAGGGTTTCAGGGCAAGGAAGTGTTCGCCGCGCTGCCCAAATGCGTGTGGGCGAACTTCACATGTCTTCGAAATATTTTTTTCTCTTATTCCTCATACATGAATGTTTCCTTCACCTCCGAGCACGTGGTAAATCAGCACTTAATATTGCAATTAACATTTTCATCGGTGCCGGCGGTGATCGAACCTGGGTTACTCGCGTTCTGTTATATTTACAGCGAGCGTTAACCATCTGAGCTACCACGGCTCTTCGACAAAGTTTAATTAAATTTAATTATAATGTGTACTTTTTGTCCGACAGCTTGTCAACTAACATAATCCTGTTGCTGTAGAAATTTTGGGATTTTTTGATCAAAAAATGCGAAAAGTTGTTTCGACTGTCCTCTGTTGATGTTAACCTAACACATAGGCTAACGTACACAAAGACTTCTGAAGAGACCGAAACAGGTGAAAATCTGAGGATGCAGGGTCAGGACTATATGGCGGATGCATCTACCCAACTAAGTTCTCTCAATTTTTACGGAGTGTCCAAAGATGTGTGTGTCTGGCGTTATCATGATGAAAAACCACTCTTTTTCTGTTAATCAATTCCGGCCGCTTTTTCTCAATTTGTTGTTGGAAGTAGATCAAAATCGATGGTATTGTCTGGTGGCAAAAGCTCATAATAAACGATGCCCTTCCAATCCCACCAAACACACAACATCACCTTATTGCGTGTTAATACGGGTTTCGCTACAGTGTGTGGGGCTGGAATACCCTTTGACCATGATCTTTTTCGCACGTTCTTGTCGTAGGTGATCCATTTTTCATTACCAGTGATCAATCTTTAAAAAAAAAAGTTCGGTTTCATTAAGTTTCAATAGAGAATTGCGAATGAGTACGATTTATTAGGTTTCTTTCAGTGAACTCGTGTGCTGTATAACCAGACTTTTTCAAATGGGTCAGAACTGTTTTGTGATTAATGCTCCATTCCTCGGCTATGACGTAACACTAATATCTCGATATTGTTCAGTTTTTTCAAGCATCGACTTTATCCGTATGAGGGTGACCAGAGCGAGCTGCATATGTAACATCAAAATTCTCGGACTGAAAACGCTTGAACCAACTTTGTGTTACTCTTACTAACACTGCCTTATGTTCACAAAAATCACAATTTTTTTTCTCGCAGTTGAGGCGCATTTGCCCTTTTTGTAATAAAACTTCAGAATGTATCGAATTTCTTCGTGATATTCACTCATTTTGGCGGACAGAAAAACAAGGGAAAAATGGCGGAAAGTGTTTTTTACTTTATATTTTAATTTTTCTTAATGTCCTTTATATATATTGATATTAAAACAGCCAGATGAAAACAGTACAACCAAAAAGATTTATGTTATACAAACAAAATACAAACTTTTTTCCCGACCTATACAATTCTTAAGAATTCAGTGTGTCACATTGCTTTAAACAAGAAAAATAAAATAATTCATATTATTATGTAGAATACATGCTAGTCAACAAAGTTTCACTTCAGAGTATAATCAGCAACAAAATTACAGTTCAAAATGGGTCACAGCGATTCGCGTCAAGATAAAAGCCTGAACGGAATGACCTAAAATCATTGGACGAACACTGTGTTGTCCAATTTAATTCATTAAAATAGTCGTATTTTTTATAGAAGAGGGGCAAACGAGTATGCGGTTCACCTGATGGTAAGTGACTACCGCCGCCCATGAACAACCGCAACACCAGGT